TCAAAAAAAGTAGTTTTTTTTTTTTTAAAAAAAGAGTTAGCGACAAGATTAAATAAAATGTTTGTTACACAATGCTTTTTCCAAATCACTAATTTGAAAATAAAATGTACAAATTTCAGCTATGTAAAGAACATGGTGCTTTTTTCAGGGTGGAGGGAAGCAGAAATTTTCATCTATGTAACTTTAAATTACTCTAAGAATTTACATTTTAAAAGTATGCTCAGAATAAAATAAATTTATGAGTAATTACTATGAATACACATAAATGCAAAGATTTGCAAATAATCTTAAATCATGTAAAATTGGTTATTTTCTAATGTATACATTTTTCTCTTAAACATTCAGTTCATATACTGTGTGATTTCAATTTCTACCATTGTACATTTTCTCTTCCCTCTGTAGAAATTACTGACATATATATTATGCTCCTCGGAAAATACATTAAATCAAGCACAGAGAATTCATATCAATCCTGAAATCCATTTATAATTTTTAATGGGATATTATTAACAAAGATTTTTTTCTAAACTAGGAAAGCCATGTTATATAGTTAGTTTTTATAAATGTGAAGGGTGATTTCCAGAAAAAAACAATGACAACATATAAAACTATACTAGCAAGTATGCATGTATTTAGAGGTATTCTCTCTCATTTTGCTGGTCTGCTGCTATCCAATCACGATTTCAAAATGAGGTCAGTAAGACTCAGACCACAAAGGTATAACGGACATCTTTCAATATTCCACTGCTGCTCCAAAGTGACCTGCTAAATATTAGGTCCATTCCTTTTTGTGGAAGACTTTTGAAGGACAAGTGAAAAGTAGGGTATTGACCCTCTTCCAAGATTATTATGGGTATATGTATACATGTTGCACAGGATTCTGCCTACATGAGATATTCCTAGGTCCTTTCCAGCAATCTCACTCCCAGATATTCTGAAATGCCTAGGAAAAGATATTTCCAAAGACATGAAAGCATAAACTGAAACAAATACTTGTGCAGCAATGTTCAATGAAATTCTATTCCCAACAGCCAAAATGTAGAAACAATCAAAATGTTAAACAACAGATAAATGGATAAACAAATTTTGGTATATACACACAATGGAATATTACTCAGTCACAAAGAGAAATCGAGTCTTGATGCATGCCCCATCATGGATGGATCTCAAAAACTTTATACTGAGTGAAACAAGTCAGTTGCAAAAGGACAAATAATATATGTTGGTTACCAAGCTTGGGAAGAGGGGGAGTTTTCACTTAAGGGCAATGAGTTTATGTTAATGGTGTTATAATTGGAAGAAAGAGATAATGGCTGTACAATTTTAAAAATATTATCAGATTACAAGACTAAATATAAAACTAGTTGACATGATTATTCACCCAATTAACTTTAAAGTAGAGAAGAGATATAAGTATGGTTTACTCAGCACTTTTTCCCCATCTTCATTCCTTACCCCTGAAGAAACATATACTTTTTTAAAGAAAAATATGAGATAAATTAAACTCTAATTAGCTTTGCCATGAAAATTCAATTGATGACTTCCAGCAAGATGGTGGAATGGGCAGACAAGCTACCAAGACCATCTATTACAAAGAAATGAGAAGCCAATTAAAATAGATAAAGATGGTAATTCTGACATACTGAGCTTCCAAGGAAAGGATAAATAAGTAGATTAAACATCAACTAATAGAATAAATGGAATGAAAACAGTGAATAAGAAGACAAACAGAACTGTGGATTGTCACTGACTTGATGGTTCAAACTTTTTTTTATATTTGCAAGCAGTGTTCCTATTGGGTCAGCAACCTGATAATCAGGTCTGCTTGCCAAGGACTGCACAGGCAACCAAATAAGTACCTGGTGACCAGAAAGCAACTGTGCCCAAATGACCCAACCACATTTGTACATCCTGCAGTGCCACCCACT